TTCTGCCAATGTCATTATTTTACAGCAAGGCCTGCCAAAATGCAGCTTGTAGCTAAGCTTGTGTCAGGTTTATTCAAGTGGCTCATGCTAGATGAGCTCTCTTGCCATCTAACTTTACCAGGCATGACGGACTATCATTAATAAGAATGTATTGATCTCTGAATCTATTCTGGGCTATAAAAATACCTTAATAAATGAGATGGCCATATGAGCAATAAATAATACCTAACAAGACCAAGTCCAAAAACTGTCAGAAAAACATGCCTCATGTTTTCTTAAGCCCTTAACTAAGGAGAATTAGAATTTCAGAGCTAAGATAAACCTTGAGATCAGAGCAAGATGCTAATTGTGAAAAGAAGGAAAAGATCCACATTACTGCACAGCTCAGCACTGATCCAGGACTAGAACTCAGGTCTCAGGTCCCTCAGCCCTAGGATAATTCTTAAAAATAAGGCATTCAAAAGCACTGCAGTCTGGTTACTAAGTACTTCTTTGCTGTATTTTCCTGTTAACTTTCTAAAAGAGTCGAATTCTACTTTGAATGAAAAAGACTTCATCCTTTTCTGTAGTTTTGAATTATTAAATGGTGAATACAATTAAATAGTAAAAGGTCATCTTCAATCTACTGCCGAGAGAAGATTCCACGTGTGCATGGTATAAGACATGCTGGTTTATGGGCCTGACACCTTGCATGGAACTTTACAAATCCCTATGATGTCCTTAAGCTCCTTCTTCAATTGAACTGAAAGATGGCTAAAAACCCCACTCGGGCAGATGACTCCCTATTGGCTGGCCATTTGAGAATGCTCAAGGGTGCAGTTACTGCAGCTGAGGCTGGTAGTAACTGGCTGTTTTCCTGAGTAGCAGCCTTCTGACAGCAGCCGGGGTAGAATTTATGCACATGGTTCAAGTGGCCTCATTCTCTGCTCAGATTCGCCTTTTTCCACATACAATGAGAATTGAGCATATGCATTTCTGATGGCTTAGAAAACAAGCAGAAATCAAAATCTGTGCAATGAGAAAAGCAAGTAGGAAAGCTAGTCTACTTAGTGTTCACTTAAATTTAGACTCTGCTGCAATGGAGTTATATCATAGTAGTGGCAGATAACAAAAAGCCTCTCCACCCCTCAAGTTAAGTCAAACTTGGTGTTGAGATTCACCTTAAACCTCAAGGTCTACATAGCATGTCTTCAAGGATTACATTTGGAACTGCTGTGCTCCACTAGGGGAATGAGTATAGATTTCATCTGTATGCAAGGTAGTAAAAGTATGGGCTGGATTAAGCTTACTACCAAAAATAATGCACATTGCCCACATACCTTCCTTCCTATCAATCCTCCTCTTCCTCCTTCTCCTCAATCTAAAGTTTGCTAGGCAAATGGCCTACCACTTAACCCATTCTCCGGCCACCGCTCCCCTCCCCCGCATCGTTGCCTCCTTGGACAGGCCCCTCCTATTTCCTAGTTCATCTATCCTCCAGAACATTTAATTCATTTTAACAGGGTAAGCTAAACTTTTGACTAAAACAACTTTGTAGCCGGGTTGTAGCCGGGTGCTGGGGTGGCTCATGCGTGTAATCCTAGCTACACAGGAAGCTGAGATCTGAGGATCACGATTCAAAGCCAGCCAGGGCAGGAAAGTCCATGAGACTCTTATTTCCAATTAACCACTCAGAAAACCAGAAGTGGCGCTGTGGCTCAAGTGTGAGAGTGCTAGCCTTGAGCTGAAGAACTGAGGACAGCACGCAGGCCCAAAGTTCAAGCCAAAACAAACAAACAAACAAAAAACTTTGGAAAAGAACTACATTCTGAGCTGTGTGTGTGTGTGTGTGTGTGTGTGTGTGTGTGTGTGTGTGTGTGTGTGTGTGTGTGTGTGTGTGTGTGTGTGTGTGTGTGTGTGTGTGTGTGTGTGTGTGTGTGTGTGTGACAGTGCCAGAGCTTGAACTGAAGGCTTCATGCTTTTACTTGGCCTTTTTGCTTTTTTTTTTTCATCAGAGGTCTTTTTTTTTTTTTTTAAATTGTGAGAATACTGTACAGAGGGGTTACAATTACATGGGCAAGATAATGAGTACATTTCTTATCAAGTATTGTTGCCTCCTCCTTTGTTTCCCCTTCCCATCCCTTCCCACCCTCCCCTTCCCCCACCTGATCCTCCCCCCCCAACCAAAGTTGTTAAGTTCGTTTTTCGACATAACAACTTGTTCATCTCATTGTTGCAATGGGTCCACCTGTATCCCTAGTTAAATGATTTGGTTTTTTCCCTTCCCCTCCACAAATTATACCAACATCAAAAACTTGGCTTTTTTGTTCAAGGCTGGCACTCTACCACTTGAGCTACACCTCTATTTCCTTGGTGGTTAATTAGAGTTACAAGTTTTATGGATTTTTCCTGCCCTGACTGCTTTCAAACCTTGATCCACAAGGTGCTGGTGGCTCATACCTGTAATCCTAGTTACTCAGGATGCTGAGATCTAAGGTTCTCAGTTCGAAGCCAGCCTGGGCTGGTTTGTGAGACTCTTGTCTCTCGCCACCAAAAAAGCTGAAATTGGAGCTGTGACTCAGGTGGTAGAGCACTATCCTTGAGCAAAAAAGCACAGGGATAGCATCCAGGCCCTGAGTTCAAGCCCTACAACCAATAAAAGAAATAAAAACCCTAAACCAAAAAATCCTTGATTCTCAGTGGTCTGAGTAACTATGATTACAGGCAGGAGCTACCAGTGCACAGCTATGAAAGACTTTTTGAGCAACAGAAAGCTATTTGTAACGAACTGCAAAGTAAAGTGAACTTGGCAATAATATTTAAGGGAAAAAAAGTTTATGCAGTTAGTTCACCTAAGATAAATGTACTGCTGTAACTTCTGCTCATTCAAATGTTCAAACACTGAGCTCTTCATGTCAGGCGTTAAACTCAATACAGGTACTCAAAGCTGATATCACACATTCTGTGCCCCCATAGAAGGCATCTTAGTCTAGAAGAGCATATAACAGGTAAGTCCTATAACGAGAGAATTCAACATGCAGCTACAAAAGCAGGGGAAATGATAGCCTGAAGTTGCTGAGGAAGGCTTTACCTGATCAGGCTGTCAGGAGGGCAGGGAAAGTGCACCTCAGGTGAAGAACATGGCATGTGCTAAGGCACCGGGGTATGGGAACACAGAAGACTCGGGAAACAGAAAATACTGTGGGCACTATTTTCCCTCAGTGCCTGTGGAAGAGAACAAAAGCCAGAGCACAAAGGAACCTGAGCACTGTGTTTAACAGTTTCCTATTGGCTAAAGAAATTTCAAGCAGGAAAGTTGGACGGGAACTCCATCTCAGATAAAGACCTCTTGAAGCACCTTGAAGGATGAATCGAGGAAGAACAGCCTGGTAGCCAAGAAGCAATGGTGCATCTAGAGACAGAAAGATTAGCTATTGATGTCTGGTTGGGGTGGGTGAGGGGAATGTGAGTGACTGCAAATGGACCCCAGGGGTTTTAGGAGGGTGATGCAAACATTCTAATACTACATTGTAGCAGTGGTTGTAGAACTCTCAATTTACTAAAAGCCACTTAATTGTGTAAAAGGAGAAAATTTTATTGAGAGTAAATTATCCCTCAATAAAGCCATTTAAAAGACTAAAACATCAAGCCCGGTGGCTCACCCAGGTAATTCTAGCTGCTCAGGAGGCTAAGATCTAAGAATCATAGTTCAAAGTCAACCCAAGAAGGAAAGTCCATAATGCTCTTATTTCCAATAAACTACCAAAAAAGTCAGAGTGGAACTGTGGCTCAAGTGATATAGCATTAGCCTTAAGTAAAAGCAGCTCAAGGGCAGTGCCCAGCCCCACCAAAAAAACAAAAAACAAAAACTGAAAAAAAACAATTACAGCCAAATATCAGTGGCTCACATTCATAATCCTAGCTACTCAAGAGGCTGAGATCTGAGGATTGAGGTTTGAAGACAGCACAGGCAGGAATGTCCAGGAGACTCTTATCTCCAATTAACCAGCAAAAAGCCAGAGTGGAGGTATGACTCAAGTGATAGAACACTAGTCATAAATGGATGGGCTAGTATCCCAGAGGATGAGAGACCAAGGAGACAAGCCCCTAACTACTGAAGCTGTGCCAGATGAGACATTTAGCTCCAGGGGAATAAAACAGCCAACTTGAACAGTAACTTGGGGTGGGTTGTTACTTAGCAAAAGCTAATTATATACTGTTTGTTTCACCTAGAATAAAATCCAGTGGCTTGCCATAGCCTTCAAGGCCCCATGTTCAGGCTCCCTTCACTTCCTGTCACTCCTCACCCCCAGCACTGTCCTACTCAGAACCTGTCCCTCATGCCCTATGTCTGGGGAGCTCCTTCCTCAGACTTGCACGGCTTGCTCTGACTTCCTTCTCTGCTCCAATATTACTATATGAGAGACCTCTTATCTCCCAACAATCACCCTTGCTCATTATTCTGCTTTATTGCTCTTGTAGGTCCTTATTATTACCAGACATATACATTAATTTCTTGCTTACACATAGCACACCAGAGTTTATATTCTTTAAGAGCAAAAGCTCTGCCTGGCTTATACTGTATCCCTAGTACTTATAATAGCCTGGAATTTTTTTTATCATCAGAAAAATGATAAAAGTAATAAATAATATTTTTGCCAGTTTGATTGTCTAGGCCTAGACATTACTTGGCATGTTTCCTGGGCTGGAGGTGGAAGAGTGGCAACGATGCTTCATATTGAGGCATGCTATACTGAATGTAGGCTTAATTCCATAATTTCTACGACCTAGAAAAATTCAAATGTCCACTACACATTTAAGCAAGGTAGCAGGATGTCAGCTTGCCACTGGTCAACTCTGAACTGTTCCTTTGATCTCCCACCTGCCTCTTTCTCTCCATCCTTTCCCAATTAGTCTATAATACTGCTTTGATACACACACACACACACACACACACACACACACACACACACACACACACCATACATATCACATATATAGCAACAAAAACTCTAAGAAAATATTATCAGCATAGAAATTTATTTGAATTCAAAATAAGGTAGGTTATATTTAGAATAATGTAATAATTATCTAAAGGAAGTATCATCATTGGCTCTGAAACAGCCTAAAGATGTTATTCTTTTGAAGTCAAAAATAGGTATTAATAATGTACAAGGAAGCAAAAAATATAGAAACATGTCTGTGGAAACACCTGAAGTGGTAACAAGAGGGAAGCGCTAAGATACTGTGATGCAGTCCAAATTATACAAACATGTGCTAATAGCTCTTTTGCTTTATTGCCAACCTGGAAAATAAATCAGTAGCCTGAGGAAGGCAAGCATATCACTTGGTTAACAGGACAAACGTCCCAAGGATACACATAGAAATTCACAATACTTTCTTTAATTCCTCTCAGTACATCAATTTCTTTCCTTTAGCATGGGTTTCATCCTGTTGACAAAATGTTTGGTTCTATTTGCAAAGTGACTCCACTCCTGATTGAAGTATCCAACAATTTAATTGAAGATGCTCAGGGATCAAACTTTTTAAAAAGGTCAATTCAGCTAGGTAGCAGAAACTATCAGTGACTTGCAGGGAAAAAAAATTTAGATAGTATGTTTGCTAAACAGATGAAAAGAAGAAGCAGTTAAAAATCATAGTGATTACTGTAACGTAGACAATCGAAAGCTGACAGATGACCTTTGATTAAACTCATTTGCTTGTGGAATGAGCTAGAAGGAAGCTCCAAGACAGTTTTGGTTCCCATCAGTGTCCAAGGCCAAAAGGCTCACTCAGAGGCTCTCCTCCTCCCGAAGAAACTGGAACACCGCTGAGAAGTCTTTCTTTGAGTAGCCCTTTGCACACATCATCCTGTAGATCTGATGGGCCACACTGCCCAGAAAGATGGGGGTCTTTGTGCTGGTTGCAGAGTCTTGTGCCAATCCCAGATCCTAAATCAAGCAAGGGCAGGAGGAACACATTGAGACTAGTGGTAAAGCCTTACTTTGGAACAGCACTTATAATACTTTAGGAAGTACTTTGTCAATTTTGAGAGTGTGACAAAAAAATTCTTACATGCATTAAGTTCATATGCATGAACATATACACCTTTGAACATATACATACTCACATATTTCCCTTTCTTTTTTTCTTTTGATGCTGGTGATCAAAACCAGGATTTCATGCATGCTAGACAAGAAATCTACCACTGACTGAGCTGGTCCCTTAGCCTTTACATATTTTACCAGTGCTTTCATACAGCTGCAAAACTGCTCTAAACAAACTTTAATTTCTTCTTCTTCTTTTTTTTTTTTCAGTCCTAGGGTTTGTACTTAGTGTATCAATGCTTGCTAGCCAGGCACTCTAGCATGAGAGACACGCACCAGCCCTTTTCGCTTTATTCAATTTTTTTTGTCGGTTGTGGGGCTTGAACTCTGGACTTGGGCACTGTCCCTCAGTTCTTCAGCTCAAAGCTGGTGCTCTACCACTTGAGCCACAGCACCACTTCTGGTTTTCTGAGTGGTTTATTGGAGATAAGAGTGTCATGGACTTTCCCACCCTGGCTGGCTTTGAACCGGGATCCTCAGATCTCAGCCTCCTGAGTAACAAGGATCACAGGCACCTGCTATAGTTACTTTTCATACAGGGTTTCACATTTCTGGTCAGGCTGGCCTGATGGAAATCTTCCTATTTATGTTCCCCTCATAGTGGGAATGATGGTTGTGAGGCACTATGCCTAGCTTTTGATTTGTTGAGATGAAATCTCAGGCTGGCCTCAAACCCCAATCCTAGCCAAGATTACAGGTAAGAGCCACTGTGCCTGGCAAAACCTTGATCGCTATGTGTCTCCACAATTACAGAAGTTGTGTTATTACACAGGGGAATGACTTTTCTAATTGGTGTTAAGTCTGTAAAACTGCTCTAAATTTAAAAAAAATCATGAAGGAAAATAAAATGTCAAAACAGTAAAGAGTTTCAAATATTACACCTTCCAATAAATATTTGAAGTATGCTGACAATGAGCCAGAAGCTGGGATTCAATGATGAGCATGATCACCTCAGCCTGCACAAACTGTTAACTGAGGAAGAAAGACACAGGGCAGTCATTTATGGACTCTGATAAAAACAGTACCATCAGGGGAGCCAGGGAGGCACAGCCCTGGGTGCTAGGTGAAGCTTTCCAGAGGAAGAGGTGGCTGACCACAGATCTGAAAGATGAGTAGGTGTTATCTGGGTAAAAGTACGGGCAACAGAGAGGTAGCAGGCAAGAAAGAATGATCCTGGCAGAGGCAATAGCCAATGGGAAGGTTTGTGAGTGAGAGAACAAGAGGCAGAAATGAGTTCAATATGACTGAAGTAGAAAGAGAAGAGTGGAAAAACTAAAGTGGGTTTGGGGAAAGAAGCAAAGACCAAATAATCCAGAGCAAGTTAGACAAACTATGGAGACAGACTTCAATCTGCTGGTAACTGAAAGGAAGGAATTCAATACGAAAAGTGACATAATCAGATTGTTACATATTTGAAAGTCTATTCCTGTTCCAGTGTGGAAAGATGCACTGGAGAAGATGAGAACAAAAGGCAAGGTGCCTAGCTAAGGAGGCTTGTGGCCTATGTAAACGAGGTGCAGCCCAGGTAGTGCTTTAAGTGGAAAAGGTAACTGGGTGAATCCAAGGTATATTCAAAATGAGAATGGAAGTATGCCATGAAGAATGAGGTAAAGTGAGCCAACTAGGCTATCCAAGTAATGTATTATTACTTTGTAATCAAAAAAAAAATCAGGGCTGGGAAGGTGGCTCAGTGGTAGAGCGCTTGCCTTGCATGCATGAGGCCCTGGGTTCGATTCCTCAGCACCACATAAGCAAAAAGAAAAAAGCCGGAAATGGCGCTGTGGCTCAAGTGGTAGAGAGCTAGCCTTGAGCTGAAGAGCTGAGGGACAGCGTCCAGGCCCAGAGTTCAGGCCCCACAACTGCCCCCCCCCCAAAAAAAAAAATCAACTGGGGGCAGGGAGGAGCTCTATGCAGAAATCTCAAAATTTACTAGTCTAAGAGAATATCCTACAATTGATATCACAAATGAAAGTAAGCCATCAACTTGCTTTTCAAATGACAATTTACACATAAATCATATATACTCTTAAAGCAGGAAAGATGTACTCAGAAATAATGCAAAGATCCCTTTCTCTTGTGATGTGCATATATAATGCCATGCATTAACAATCTGTTAATTCTTACTGCTCTTACACTAAGGCATTGGTAAAGTTAGTAAATTAATATAAATTTATGATGAAAAGTAAAATTTTACAGCTCATACCATAAACAAACTTGAGCCCTGGGGCTTGAACTTTGGACCCAGGCATAGTCATTGAGCTTCTTTTGCTCAAGGTTAGCATTCTTATCACTTGAGTCAGTGCCGTTTCTGGCTTTTTCTGTGATTAATTGGAGATAAGAGTTTCATGGACTTTCCTGCACAGGCTGGTATTGAACCATGACCCTTAGATCTCAGCCTCCTGAGTAGCTAGGATTACAAGTGTGAGCCACTGACACAAAGTGCACAAATTCTTTTAATCCAAAAGCCAAGGAATAAAATAATAAAATAAACAAGATAATAAGTTTTACCTATGCTAAGTTTTTGTTCGCTCTAGTAAGAAAGGGAAAGTCACTATTCCAGTAATTGTGCCTTCTAACATAGACATAAGAACTGCTTTATTAAGTTGCCTTCTAACATAGACATAAGGACTGCTTTATTAAGTTGGGGTTAGGAAAGAGAAAGTGAGATGCAAGGAGAGAAAAAAAAAATTAGGTCACGATGCATTTTTCCTCTTCTTGGTTAGTCTTTACATTTACCATTTCCATACCTTAGCCATGAGGGTTGTTCCAAATCCACCCTGATAGTTATTAGCTGAGGGAACTCCATCCATCACCCCAGGGACGGGATTATAAGTGTCGCTTGACCAACACCGTCCAGAACTCATGTTTAGGATTTTAGCCAATAGTTTTGGGTCAAGCCCTAACCTGTCAAAGGTCAAAGAAAAGAAATGTTACATGTCAAAATGTACACGGCATGCATGATTTATTTGCATATGAGGAGGCTCTGTCTTCACCATCTATTATGTCTTCTAAAATTAAAGCAGTATAAGAATCCTAATTTGAATTACAAGATAGTAAAAGGTAACAATTCAACAAGATCATTTCTGAGCCAAGACACTGTGTATTAAGAGAAACACTTCTGCCCTATCCCAACTATTAAGAAGCAATAATATATGACTGTTGGTTTGTCATACTCATGGGTTTTCTAGTCTTTTGGACATTACTAGTTTTATGTGTCACTTATGAACTTTAAAGCAATAAGATAATCTCAATTTTACATTCTTTACATACATATGTTATATTTCAGAAGTACTGACGGGTAAACGATGCGTGTGTGGGTGTGTATGGATGCATTTATACATATGTTTACTCCTTTGTCTTTTATAAGAACACATGCAAGAGATGAGCCATGAGCAAAGAAATGTGTTGAAGAAAAATTGCCATTATAGAAGAAGACATTTCTTGCTGCAAACTTTTCCTTATTTATAAAATCTTCATTAGACAACCTTGCTTATAAAGCAAGTCTGTCCATGTGACATATGCTATCTATTCAGAGACATACATTATAGTTCTGGGTCAACTGCTGATAAGGTTACTGATCCTGATGAAACAAAGCTTGCCCAAGCGGAAACATCATTTGTTCTATCACTGGGCTGATGGCATAAACGACTGTTTAATATGGACCTTAGAGGGAAAAAAGCCTCAAAATGTTCTATTGTTTTGATTGTAATGATCTCAATAGTTTGGGAAGCATAGTTTTATTAAGTATCACTCAATGAAGTTTCAAATAAAACTTTATATCCGTAAGTTTATTGGTTTCTTTCATGCAAAGGGCTATTATAAAACAGCTGTCATAAAAATTTTGTTTTGTCTTAAAACAAACCTCTTCTAGAAAATAATAAGAGATTGAAAAGATATACTTGTGTTAACAGCAAACAAACTACATTTTTACACACTTAAAATGTTGCTTACTTTGTGTGAGTGAAATATATACATTTCAAGATCTGAGCATTAAGCCCAGTAAAAGATTTTTCTGATGCTAACGTAGGGGTAAGAGCTAACAGCCAGGATATGGATGGACTTACCATGTAATACAACTGATACATAATTAGTCCTCAAGGGGTAGCAGTGGTTCACAGAATGCTGTGTGGCATACTGTGTGTCTGAATTCACCAGTGGCAATTATGTGAATCATGCTACAATCATGTATTCTTACTAAAGATTACAACAGATAAAGCAGATCCCATCTAAATGAGCACCATATAGTTACTTCAGCTGCATATTGCCAGAGAGATGGCCAGCAGTCACATTCATTCTTTTATAAAGATCCAAATCTATTGCATGTGTAGTTTGTCATGGATGCTTTCTTCCTATTTACATAAAATCAAGCAGTCAGAATTTTCTGTGACATATTGTCTCAGGAAAAGACAGCCAATGTGCTCCAGAAATAAGTGCAAAGAATAAAATAACAAATTAATAATTAGTTTATTGTATTTGCAAGTATATTCTCTAAGCACAATTGTTCAAGAACATAAATTTGTTTAATGTGCTCCATAAAGAGAATATTTCAAAGACCTTAAAACATTGCTTTTCCTGTCCATTTGAAATATTATTTTAGGGGTTTCCTAATTCAGATATTCTCTTAAAATGATTCAACATCATTAAAGCAGTAGCTAGTCCCCTCTTAATAATCTAGCAGGTTATACCTAGACTTGTTTTAGTGAACACATTCGTATTTCAAAGCATCTGGAGGGATACAAAAAACATCAGGTGGCAGTTGCTTGCTCACTTTTCAAACCTGATGCTCCTTTCTGTCGTCCTGTAGATTCCCTTCAAGAAACTGCTACTCCCTCGTGCTTTTCCTCCCTGCCCCCCAACCTGCAGCAAAGTGTATCATTAAAAAGAGCAAGTGAGAAGTGTTTTGCATTTTATCTTTCTGAGGATTCTTTCCTTGGCACATTCATAACTGACAGTTAGAATTAGACATGATATTAAAATCAGTTACTGAAGTCTTCTGTCTTCCTCTGTGCCCACGGCTTGTAATGGTCTGAAACCAGCTAGAATACACAGTAATTGTCATTCAGAGAGTCTACCCTAGAACGTCATGCTTCACTGGAGAAGACTGAGTTTCCATTTGAAATCAACAAATTAATCCAAGACAGGTATCTGAAAGGGCAAGTTTAATAGGAAGCAGCTACTGGGCTCTCAACCATGATAAAATGTTATTGCTGTTTCCCTGTAAATTGGCTGGGAACATATGATACTTTCTGCATAAGAGCCCCATTGCTGTTCAGGAGATATACAGCTCAAGTCATCAAAAGGATGACAGTCTGTCAGTCCCCATAATAACTTGCCACTGGATGTGGTTCGAGAGTGCGTGTGTGCATGCATGTGGCTTTACAATTGCTGGAATGTTCTCTGAAATAAACAGAGAATTAGTTCATTGTTCTGACTGCATATATAATTCAACTCAAATAAACGTCACTGTGTCAAATCTGCTCACCTCTAAAACACATGAATGTTAAAAAGAACTTTTGGGGGAGGTAAAAATAATATACAAACTATTAAAAATTAAAAAGAATGAAAACCTTTTGCCTTCACAATAAAACCAAAGTTCTAAGGATCAAAAATGTTCGTTTGCTTTACAGTCTTTTGTAAGTATCTACTTGTTTAGTTTTATGTAAGAACAACAACAAAAAAAACCCCACAAAACAGATGTTTGCATCTTAGAAACATATCTGAAGATGAGCATAGAAAGCTCAGTTGATTTTATTGACTCATTCACTTATTCACCAATGCTTACACAGACCTGCAATATGCAAATACTGTACAGGAGCCAAGTGCACAACAAGAAGTTAGAGGGGACTGTGACTGCCACCAGGAGTGGGTGAGTTAACATACACACCCAGATAACATGTGACTAAGGCAGAAGTGCCATGTTCTACCCTACCAAGCACTCACTACTCATTCAGGCCTTCATGGAACACCTATCATCTGCCAGTTCCTAAGATTCAGCCATGAGGACACACAGCCATTCTCCTTCATGGAGCTTAGTTTCTAGGCATTAGAAAGGCAATAAACAAATGTGTGTGTGTGTGTGTGTGTGTCTAGTAAATTCAAACACTATCTCGCCACAGATATTAATAACTACCATGTACAGAGCTCTTATTATGTGCCAGAAACAGTTTTTAGAGATTTACGTAGATTAACTCAGCCTTCACTACAATCTAAGGCCTTCTTACCAGCTTTTACTATTTGTTGGTTTGATTGACTGATTGTGGTACTGGGATTTAATACCTAGCAAGTACTCTATCACTTGAACCACATCGCCAGTCCTTTTTTGCTTTAGTTACTTTTCAAACAGTCTCATGTGTTTGCCTGGTACCAGTCTTGGACCACCATCCTTCTATGGCTGCCTCTCATATAGCTGGGACTATAGAGCTGAACCACTGTGCCAGAGTTGCTGGTTGAGACTGGAGGAATCACTAATTCCTTTTTCTTCCTAGCTGGTCTCAAACTGCAATCCTCTCAGCTCTGCTTCCTGAGTAGATGGGATTACATACACATTATTTTTTAAATGAGAAAACACAGAATCTGTCCACAGTTGGATTGCTTAACTAGACAGATACCCAGACTTAGACTAGCTTAAGTTTCACTGTGTCCTATGTGCAGTGAGAGATCATAGTCAAGCAACCAATATGATGGAATTTTATCATTTATTTAAAAATCTGGTCAACATTTTGTAACAGCCTCATTGTCATTTACCCTCTAATTTGAGGGTATATAAGAAGTCTTTCATCATATGAAAGAAAAGTCAACTTCTAGGTGCAGTAACCAAAAAATTAAAATTTTGCTTGTGGGAAATTTTTTTATCACGAATAGCTTTCAACTCTTCAACAGAAGTTCAACATGTTAGGTTTCACTTGCTGGAAAAAACAACAATGTGGTGGCTACTGGAGGGGCCTAGGACCTTGTTGATAATGGAAATAGCTTGTTATATCATCAATGTTTAAAAAAAATCAATTCTCAGTAGAGCAAAACAAAACTCACATTAACAATGTTGTTTCTCTGTGTCACATAGGAACAAAAAGCTCTGTAATGCAACTAGGGCATTGTCAAGGCTATAAAACTATTTTGGAGCTCTAACTAGGAACTCAATTAGAAAGTAGAAAGGTCTAATAAAAAAGGAACCTCAAAATATATGTATACCAATATTTTTTACTCTTTATTTTTTTTACAACATTTTAAAATTTCACTAACATCCATAAAGACTCAGTGGGGTCAATAAGAATTTTAAATTGTAAGGTTTTATTCTTCTATTAAAAGAGAGAGAGAAAGAAACAGTGTTCAGGAAAAAACACTGACTTATGAGAAAGATATTAATCAGAAATTATCATCTCACAGGAATATGTAACTCAATTGTAAATGTTGACATTAATATGCTAAAAAATTTCACTTCAGAGTGAAGAGAATATAAATGTGGCTGAACCACTTTGATGCTTTACTACTTTGTGGGAATTTACTACTTGGAAATTTATGCTTGCTGATGCCAATTTTCTTTTTCACCTTGCACAGCTCAATAAATTGTGGGTACTCTATACTCTATTAGAGAGCAATCCTGTCATTTTAAACCATGTCTGTAAACCATGGAGAAAAGACAATAGCAGAAACACTCATTTTTAGGGCTTTCAAACTACTAAGAATCCCTGTAAGATAGTGATAAAAATCTTAATGTTATGAAAATAAGTCATTTATTAGCATATTCTGAAACTCTCGTAATTTTAACTGTTAAGTAAATTTCTGCCTCTGTTCAAAATTTATGTACATATATATCATATAGATCAGCCAATACCAATACATATTTAGTTTTAGAAAAATTAAACATTTATTTACAAGTTTCATAATTTCAAATATTTTTATCACAGTGGCTCAAGGCCAAAAATAAGTAAAACTTTATTCTTCTGTTCTTAATTGTCTCTATTTGGAATTATATTACTTTCATTTTCTCCTTGAAGACAAGCCCACTGTAAGAAGCCAATGTTTTTCATTACATTATATATAAGATATACATATATTTCAAATGAATACTGTTACTATTCTTTATTAGCTGCTGTTTGGAGGAAAACTTCCATAAGCTCTTAGACTCAACAAAGCTTCATTTTAGAAGAGCAAATGATTAACTAGTCAGAGTTTTGACAGGAAAATTATTCAAAGAATGCCAGAAGATTCATCACTGTCATAAGGAACATCTTGATACAGTGTTGCTCAAGTTCCGGAGTAGAGAATAAACTGACACTGGGCACCAGTAGTTTCCACCTATAATCCTAGCTACTCAGAAGGCTGAGGTCTTATAACTGAAGCTCAGAGCCAGCCCACGCAGACAAATCCACAATACTCTTACCTGTAACTAACCAGCAAAAAACAGAACTGGAGACAGGCAAGGTGCAAATAGTAGAGCACTAGCTCTAAGTGAAAAGGCTAATCAAGAGTGTGGCCTAGCTGGGCGGGCGCTTGTGGCTCACACCTATAATCCTAGCTACTCAGGAGGCTGAGAGCTGAGGACTGTGGTTCAAAGCCAGCCCGGGCAGGAAGTCCATGAGACTCTTATCTCTAAGTAACCAACAGAAAATCAGAAGTGGCGCTGTGACTCAAGTGGTAGAGCACTAGCCTTAGGCTGAAGAGCTCAGGGACAGCACCCAGGTCTAGAGTTCAAGCCCCACCACTGACTAAAAAGAAAAAAAGAAAGTGAGGTCTTCAATTCAAGCCCCAGTACTGGCATATAAAGAAAAATAAACTGGTAACAGGGAAATGTTATCATAGTATAACCCGGATACATCTAAGCTTTTGGCTTTTTATGATATATTTATTTAAAGGCAAAAATTAGCAGAAGATTTCAAAATGCATGTGTATACTAATCCTGCTGTCAACACCAATTAATTTTATATGTAATTTATGTTTTCCTCTTCTCTGAAATTAATCTATAGAACGGACATAAAACAAGTTATCAGTAGCAAGTTTTTCAACTATGACAACTGACCTAATAGGTGGCCTAATACTGGCCACCATACAAACATACTGCTTGGAAGGGCTCACACATATACTACCAGTTTTATTAAGGATTTGTACAAATATGGCTTACCATCTTATAGACATTCAATTTTAAAATGTAAATGGTACAGGATATTGATAAACCAATTAGCGCTGATGCAAAGCAAATTTCTCTTTTATCTCAATTACAACATGACAACTTAATAGGTCAAGATAGTTTAACATCTGAGACGAGGGCAATTCAATAAAGCAACAGCATCTTGATATGGTAATTAAGGGGAAATGTGTCTCCATTACCATGTTTTTAAAATATCTCAAGCACCCTGGCTCTTTGTATTGCTTTTATCAAAAGCTATGATAGGAACCACTATTGTGCTTTGTAATATATTTGATGAAGCAGTTTGGGGAATGTGAAGAAAATATCTGAACACATCTTGCTCATTAAGGATTTTCTAAAATAAGAAATGTATATTTATTATATTCATAAAATATAAAACACTTAAAAATTAATCAATTAATCATATATAACATTCTTAACCCAAAAGGCTAAAATTAAGATATTTACCTTAAACATTATCAGGGATGATCATTTGTAGGAAAAAACCTTAACTCTTGATTGACTTTAGGCTAAGAATGAATAACATTTATCTTAAAGATATATCCTAAAATAAAGTTAACCAGACCACAGGCATACTAAAATCTGAGTTAGGCATGAGTCAGATCTTTAGGAATGTAAGTAAGTTGATGCTAACAAACTAACAACAAACCTTTTGGGTAGAGCTTTGAAGGATTATATTTAAAATAGGGACAGAAAATAGTCACATGGTAGCATAACACTTCAGTTCACTAACATTAAAACTGTTTCATAGGAAGTGGCGCTGTGGCTCAAGTGGTAGAGCACTAGCCTTGAGCTGAAGAGCTGAGGGACAGTGCTCAGGCCAAGTTCAAGCCCCATGACTGACAAAACAAAAAAACAAAGCAAAAAAAAAAACTTTCATACAGATTTGTCAGACACTGCCAAAGTATATTTAAATTTCAGAGTTTTTAGCATTATCAACCTACTAGAAGAAATGAGCTTCCAAATAAAAAGGATAATATAACTTCAAATGCTCACTGAAGTACATTTTATGGTTATGGCAAAGAATATTCATGCTCTCCAAGATCCTATTGCTCATCCAATAAGCAAAGTCTATTGAAGTTCAATAATGAAGTACTTTCAAAATGCCCCTGGACCAACTCATTTCTCTCTCACAAACATTATTAATTTTTTTTTACAACAGAAAATCAAATAGGAAAGCCAATAAAAATTGTTAGTTCATGAAAATGAACTACTCAACAAACCTGATTCCAAGATTCATAGCTTCAGAGGTTCCAATCATACTAATAGCTAATAGCATGTTGTTGCAGATCTTTGCAGCCTGGAAATGAATTGAATATATACTCAATATCCTTATTTTCAAGTTATAACTTGCTTCTACTATGGGCTCAGAAGTACAGGGAGTGCTGATCCATGTGTCAAGGGATGGGACTTACATCTGACTTGGGAAATAGAAATAATATGTTACATGAAAGGCAACAAATGAATAAACAAAAACAATCACATGGTAACATGTATGGTAGAAAAAGAAGGAGTTCAGAGAAACAAGAAAACTAAACACAGGAGTATGGAAGAGATAACTGGAAATCATCTCCCAGGACAAGATATGGTGTGTGTGTGTGTGTGTGTGTGTGTGTGCGTGCGTGCGTGTGAGAGAACTGGAAATCATCTCCCAGGACAAGATATGGTGTGTGTGTGTGTGTGTGTGTGTGTGTGTGTGTGTGTGTGTGTGTGTGTGTGTGTGTGTGTGTGTGTGTGTGTGTGTGTGTGTGTGTGTGTGTGTGTGTGTGTGAGAGAGAGAGAGAACTGGAAATCATCTCCCAGGACAAGATATGGGGTGTGTGTGTGTGTGTGTGTGCGCACGCACGCGTGCATGTGTGTGCCATTCTAAGGCTTGAATTTAGGGCCAGAGCACTTTTCCTGAGCTCTTTTTGCTCAAGGCTAGCGCTCTGCCACTTGTGCCAGCTCCACTTTAGCTTCTTTCATGGTTAACTGGCAATAAGAATCTCAACAGGGGCTGGGCGCTGGTGGCTCACACCTGTAATCCTAGCTATCCAGGAGGCTGAGATCTGAGATGATGGGTCAAAGTCAGCCTGGGCAGGAAAGTCCGTGAGACTCTTATCTCCAATCAACCACCAGAAAACCAGAAGTGGCGCTGTGGCTCAAGTGGTAGAATGCTTGCCTTGAGCTGAAGAACTGAGGGACAGCACCCAGGCCCAGAGTTCAAGCCCCACAACCGACAAGAAAGAATCTCAACAGATTTTCCTTCCTGGGCTGCCTTTGAACTTTGATTCTCAGTTCTTACCTTCCCAGAGTAGCTAGGATTATAGGTGTAAACAAGCCACTGGTGACCAGCCTAAGACATGATTTGAACAGGCAAAAAGAAAAAGGTAGAAAGTGGGCAAAAGGTAAATGTAAGAGGAATTAAATATATCAAGAGCAGAGACTATTCCTAGGATTAGTGGAAACAATTATTCATATGCATTGGCTTAAAAGAATGCTGCAAATTTGACAGTTAGGACTATGTCTTGTGCAGTAAGTAGGGAGTTAAAATTTGACATAGTAAAACAGAGACCTATCTGGTTCAGAATAGGGATATAACATGATGGTATAAGCAACTCTGATGGACTTGCTTTTAGACAGGGTGGGACAAAGTGATAAATTTAGCATCTAGAGATTCATTAGATCCCCTGAGTAGTAAACTAAGTATGAGATTAAAAAAAAAAAGATTGGGCCAGCTAATGTGGAAAAGATGATTAGTAATGGGAGTCACTGAAGCAAAACTCAAAAGAGCTTTAAGAATCTCTCAACAAATATATCTAAGATAACAAAACAGTCTTGAGTAAGACAAAAAGGAGTTCTAGTAACTAGGATAAAAGCACTAAAAGAAAGAACTGAATGAATTAGGTTCATATTAGAAGTTTGATTTCAGAATACAGTATGGTCAATCACTTCATATTTCTCGGTGAAAACTACCTGCTTTTCAAGGAAAAGATTAAAAACTGCATAGGTTATTTCCACCTTAAAGTAGATGGAGGATAACTCACTCAGATAACATGAGCACTTCATATGGAAGTGTTTTAAGGATGATTTCAATAGTCACTGGAATGATATATCAAGATTCTAATAATGAGATTTTTGATATCTTTAATAAAATAAGTACATTAGCTGACATCTTCTTAAGCCCACTCAAAATGATGGAAAACCATCTTATTCCAATTTAAGAAAATTTACACAAAGACTCCATTGACTTAAACAGAAAAAAGAGGAGTAAGAATATGATCAGGAAAGAGAATGGAGCATCAGCTAATTTTATATCAAGTCAAGGTCAGGTGACAATCTTACCTGTCCAGTCCCAACAGCTCCACAATATACCACATTGGAGCCCATGCACCCCAGCAGTTGTTGGGCAGCAGCAAATTCCTCTTCGACTCCTCCCACCATAAATGTGAGATTCCCAGACCGGGCAGCTCCTACACCTGCATCATTTGAGGAGAAAGAGAATCAAAATGATACATTTCTTAAATGCTTCAGTAAATTTTTTAAAACAAAAAAAATACAAAAACAAAATGAAAACACCTTGTCTCTAAAATGTACCTATGGTAAGCATGTGAAAGATACTCTAAAATAGCCATATAAATGTTTCAATAATAAAGTATCATGCAAGCTAATTACAAACCAAAAGACCACATACAGACTTAGTCTTACTCTCATTCTCAATATATATTAAAACTTTTGGCACAACCATGGCACAGAATATGGGGATTTGAAATGTGCATTTTACCCTATGTCACCTACTGTTTCCTTCAGAACCTACTCAGTAATAAAAAAAATATATAAGAAAAAGGATTCTGAGGGCTTAGACCCTCACAGGAGCAGGGTGAGAGGGTCTGCTGATGAATTTGATTTGAGATCACTGGGATCCCTTGATCCTTCTCCCAATCTTATCACATGAGAGGGAGAACTATAGTCCAGAAACAAAGAGCCATGTCAGGTGGTAAGACTGTAAAGGAAAAAAAAACTGTTCTTATTTAGACTGATTATTCTCATGTGCACATTCTCATATTTTTCTTTTCCTTCCTACTCTCTATCTTTGCAGGCAATTCACCCCTAGTAATATGAGCTGGAAGAAGAAATAACTTTTACACTGGTTTGCTGACTTCTTTATAGCTTTTAACAAAAGCTTTAATACATGTTCACTGGTGAATGATTGGAAAAACAACTCATAATTTAGCACAGAAAAATTGGCTTAGGCTTATCTTAAAAGGGGAAGAAGAATCTCATTCATCTAAAATTTTATTAACTATAAAATAAAATCAAGAATATTATTACAGTTTTTATTATTTAGAGAAAGCCTAATTCATAATTATCAAGTTAGATTTTATTATTCAACAACAGGAAGGCATGTGGGTAAGATATATTAGTACAATGTTCACTTTTATAGCTTATTTTACAGGACAACTAGAAACTGCAATTATACAATTACAGAACAGATAGCTACAAGTAATGACCTGCTTTTGAATCTGATTTATTCAATGAAATACAGTTTTTATACATTAAATAAAACTCAGGCAAAGAGTGCCCTATTTCATTCAAATTGTGAATAATTTGTTATTGCCAAATCAAGTAGCTTTTCTTTTATGGTTCATACTATTTTTAACCAGTTACTAAAAGTAAAAGAAGTCAGCACACGTCAGCCAAACAGTCTTGGAAGAGTGAGTGCCCACATGTTATGAGAGCCTGAAGTGCTCACACATATGGTTAAATTACATTATTTCACAATATCTTCACACAGTTGCCAACAGAGTATATTAAAAATCCAATTATAAAATATCCTTTCAATTGGCCAATCTATGTCATTTGAACATCCCATACTATTGACATTTAAGTGATTGTCATTTTGCTAGTTTCTAATTTTCTTCACCAAAAATAGTGAACAATTACAGTTTTATAATTACTTTGCTCAATCACGTTAGCTATTTTTATTCAGACCATATAACTACCCTTTCTCCTAGTTTTGTTGATCTGACCTAGAGAAATTAAGTGGACAATATAAGCCAAAGCTTACAAACAAATCCAGCATTATCCATCATAGGTCAATAGCCTTGTACCCAGATTACAGACTACTAAACAGCTTTAGAGAGTCATTTATTAAAGGAAAATTAATGCTGACAATGGTTCTCAGCTGGTTAATCTTTTGACAGGTACACTTTCTCACTTGTTCAAACACATATTTCAGAGAGAAGAAATAAGTTACTTAAGCAAGAGAAGACTTGCTTAAGTCTTCTTAAGCAATACTGGGAGGCTGAACTCAGGGCCTGTTCTTGCTAGGCAGGCACTCTGACACTTGAGCCACACGCCTAGCTCTTTTTGCCTTTTGAGTATATATATATATGCCTAGCCTGGCCTGGCCTGGACAGTGGTCTGCCTACCTATACTCCCTATGTAGCTAGGAGGACAGTCACATTTATACCAAGGCTAGCTTTGAACTGTGATCCTCCTGACTCTGTCTCCCAAGTATCTATGATTACAGGTCTGAGCCACCAATACTTGGCAAGAAAGAGTAATTATCATTTAATTCAGAAATTCATGGCAGATTCATTCTTTCCTCCTCTCAAAGTGGCCTTTCAATTATTTCCAACTTTATTGTATCTTGTATCTCAGTATAAAGGTCTAACTAAATTGGGTAATTCTACACTTCTGGAATTTCTTGGAATCAAAAGCTATCTTTTCATACATATTCCTTTAACACTATCAAGCCTAGCCTCAATGCAAAAACAGAGCTAAAATACTAGTTATCATTAATGAAATATAGCTATTTTGAACATAGGGGAAAAATAGAAAACTGGAATTCAAGAGCTGGTAAGACATCTTATGGACATCTTCAAAAGATATCATATGGATGTTAGAAGAGATTATACAGATTTTTACGACTAGTCATAACAAATAATAAATGTACTACCTCATCATGCCATTTTAACTTAAATCATACTCCAAATAAGAACACATGAAATGTACACTCACATAGCTGCTAAAATACTAGAAGATCTATTTTCAGGGTATTTGTAATCCAAAAATCTGGAATATACCCAAATTCAAAACTTTTTGAGTATCATACCATAGTAAAACAAATTCCACAACTGATTTCATGTGACTATGTGGTCAAAATGAAGGCATACTGAAAGTTTTGTTTCAAGTGACCTCTAGATTATGTGTATGCGGTGCACTTAAAAACAAATGAATTTGTGTTTAGACTTGGGTCTCAACCCAAAATACTTCATTATGTACAATGCAAACTCCCAAAATCCAAAACTCCGGCCCTAAGTACTTCAGATAAGGCAGATTCGACTTGTATTTTAGCTAATGTTTTAATATAAATGTTGTATTTAACTCTATTATAAGCATTTATCACTGGCAGAATCTTAGATTTTTGTCATCTGATTCCTCCTACAAGGTCAGCATTAGGGTCTTGTTTATGTCAACATCCCCATTATCTGGTACAGTATATGATATTCAATAGATGTGTGTCTAGAATACAAGTGAATAAGAAAAGGAGTAAAGAATCCATGGAAGTAAAATGAGGTTTTTCAGAGTGCTACTTGCTGTCTGTGTAATTACAAATTATTTATCTTCTAGTCTCAGCATATGAAATGGGAAAAGAATTACTAACCTCTTTACAGTGAAACTGAAAATGTGAGCAAACATAGTAAAATAAAATGCCATTTAAATATGTTCAATAACCTGGGTTAGAGAACTGGGTGTTTTCCCATTTGGTTATCTAAGCCATTGAATCCTAAGTTAATTTTAGTCTTGCTTGCCAACTATTAACTGGTTTGGGCTGAACCGATCAGCAATACAAACAAGCTGGCTGAACCTATCAGCAATACAAACAAGCTGGCTGAACCTATCAGCAATACAAACAAGGTGAAGAAATAATATTATATAGAAATCCACAAAGAGTGATGTTAAAATTACATCACTGTAGCGAACTTTTGCAAAATCTTTTAAGGGACATCTGCATTTGGTTGTCATTCAGCACAACAGTGTAACTACTCAGTATCAAGCACTGTGGTTAGCAGTATGCTGAAGGCTAAACCCATGGGCCATTGTGGCTAAGAAGCTATCCACCTGTGATCTGACCACTTTTCTCCTTGTCCATCATTACCATTCTGATCAGAGCCATTGTCACCTCCAAGCTGCTGAGGTGAATGACTTTGACAGCCTCCTTACTTAGTCTCCCTTTTGCTCCTGCCTCCATTGTTTATTTCCCATGCAGCAGCCTCTTTTTTTTTTTTTTTTTTTGGTTGGTCATGGGGCTTGAACTCTGGGCCTGGGCACTGTCCCTCAGCTCTTCAGCTTAAGGTGAGCACTCTACCACTTGAGCCACAGCCCCACTTCTGGTTTTTTGGTGGTTAATTGGAGATAAGAGTCTCACAGACTTTCCTGCCTGAGCTGGCTTTGAACCATGATCCTCAGATCTCAGCCTCCTGAGTAGCTAGGATCATAGGTGTGGGACACCAGTGTCCAGCTGTGCAGCAGCCTCTTTAAACACAAATCTAGTGATGCTTCTCCTCAACTCTAAACCTTCCGAAGCCTTCCCATCAGTGTCTGTATAAGAAAGTTCTAAAAGGCACCTTGACATAGGGTTGGTTTCCTTTCCTATCTCATTTCATATTATTCCTTCTGCCATTCACTGCTTCCCAGACACCAGTTCCCCACACAGGTAAAGCATAATTTCCATATTCAAACCCTGCACTGGGTATGCTCTTTCCCAGCTACTCATGACTTACTTTCACCTTGCACTAACTTAGGTCCCTGTGGAAAATTCACCTCTTCAGTAGGCCTTCCCACATACTCCATCTAACAATTCAGAACAGCACTTTACTGAGCTGGGCGTGGCAGTGTACACCTGTACTTCAAGTAGTGAGGAAGAACAGCTGTACATTTAAGCCTCGCAAGCATCAAAACTCTTAAAAAATAGGACTTAATCATTACCCATATTCTTTTCTTGCTTTAATTTTTATTTATTTATTGTCAGTTGTGGGGCTTGAACTCTGGGCCTGGGCACTGTCCCTCAGCTCTTCAGCTCAAGGCTGGTGCTCTACAACTTGAGCCACAGCGCCACTTCCAGTTTTCTGGTGTTTAATTGGAAATAAGAGTCTCATGACTTCCTTCCTAGGCTAGCTTTGAACAGTGATCCTCAGATCTCAGTCTCCTGAGTAACTAGGATTATAGGCGTGAGCCACCAGCACCTGTCTTTAATTTTATTTCTAATGTCTAATACCCCTTGTTTCTCTCAATACCTCTTATTTTGATTCTGCTTTGCGTTCTTCATATGAACATTTGTTCATGAAGGCAGTGTCAGCTGGCTCGTTAACCCCATATTCACACAGTCTGGTGCATAAGAGATGCTTAGTAGGCTGACTGTTTAAACCAAGAGGGAAGGAGGAGGTGCTATCATTTGAATGTGTCTTCTAAA